TTAGTTCATCTTTCCTGTGGCGTTACTCATGTCTGTTCGATCTTTGTTGTAGCTGACGGTGAAAGAGTTCAAGGAGCACATTGCCCCATCAGTGGGTATACCAGTGGATAAACAGAGGCTGATCTACCAGGGCAGAGTGCTGCAGGACGAAAGGACTCTGACAGACTACAGTAAGTAAATAAAGAATGAAATGCAGAACTAGATTGTCATTTCTTGGTCTTTGTACTTCCTCCTGGAAAGTAGGAAATTTGGTTATTTGGTATTACAGAGAATGAATTCTTAACATTTTGGTTACACTTGGTTACAGATAAATTGGAATTTACTATGGTGTTTTAAGAGTTGCTGCTGCTTTTTAAAAAGATTTGTGTTGATGATGTGGGCCATTGCTGAAAAAGAATGTAACAGCTATGTGTAATTAACTGCAAGATGTATTTGGCAGAAAATGAGTGTCATTTTGATAATCAGTTACAATGATTTACAATCATTTCCTCAGAATCCAGTCGTATATGATGAATTATAAGTTGGTCAGTTCTGGTCTTTTATGCTGAAGAGAGCTCAAAGTGAAGCTGTCAGTTTAGCTGTTAAGCTACAGTCCTATCCCCACTTATGGCCACGAGCTGTGAGTAGTAACTGAAACAAATGGCTGAAATGGGCTTGCTCTAAAGCAGGGGTGGGCAATCTCAGTCCACGAGGGCCGGTGTCCCTGCAGGTTTTAGATGTGTCCTCGAACCAACACAGCTGATTTAAATGGCTAAATTAGCTCCTCAACACGTCCTGAAGTTCTCCAGAGGCCTGGTAACGAACTAATCATGTGATTCAGGTGTGTTGACCCAAGGTGAGAACTAAAACCTGCAGGGACACCGGCCCTCGGGGACTGAGATTGCCCACCCCTGCTCTAAAGGATTTCTTAGAAATGTGTTGAAGAGCTTCATCACTCAGGAGGGGATCAGAGTAGCACTGCTACCCCTCTGCACTGAAAGGAGCCAGTTCAGGCATCTGACCCGGCTGCGTCCAGAGCGCCTCTTAGGTCAAATGTTTTTGGCCTGTCATAGCAGGAAGAAGCCTCCAAAACAAACCCAGAATGCAGTGGAGAGATTTTCTTTTTTTTTTCGGCTTGAAAATGCCCTGATGCCACATGTTCCCCCCAGAAGACATGGAGAGGGAGAGGACTGGGCTCCTGGTTAGACTGCTACCCCCCGACTCAGACAAGCATCATATCTATCTAGTAGACAGTCGAGCGGCTAGCAGAATACCTGGGTAGTGCATTCAAGTAGAGTCTGTGTTGGAAATGCAATTTTTTTTTTTTTCTTGAAGTATGATTGGAGATGTGTAACTGTATATGACTGTCTCTACCAGATGTGGGTGGAAAAGTGATCCACCTGGTGGAGCGAGCGCCCCCTCCACCCTCACAGCCCGGCTCAGGGTCAGGAGGCTCTTCAGCTGAGAGTGGGCCATCTTCTTCCTCCCAGGGAACATCGCAAGTGCCTCCACACGATCGCAACGCTAACAGCTACGTAATGCTTGGCACATTCAACCTCCCTGTCAACATCATGGATCCCCAGCAAATACAGGTTGGTCTGCTTTATCTTCTCAAGTTATATTTATGGTCCAATGTCACATGCAAAGGTTCAGATATAACCAAAGGGTGATGAAAAGCAACTCAGAGAACCGATGTTATTATTCCATTACTGATTACTACTGATTATTATGACATGTAGCAGAGAGATCCTCTGCTTT